GGACGCCGAGGACTCGCGCACGCGCCCTGCGGCGCCGACCCTGACGGCGCCCCCTGGCGGAGGCGGCCTCGCGGCGCAGCACCCTGCTGGGCGGGGCCTCGGGCGGGGTGGGCGGGGATATGCAGATGAGCTCCTTAAAGCGACAGGGCGCAAGTTCGGTCGGGCTCCCGGGAGCTGCTGGTGCGAGGAGCAGGAGGGGCTGGGTGCAGGGATCTGGGGGCGCAGGGGTGCTAAGGTGCAAGGATGCACGATGTACAGGAATGTATAGTGTACAGGGATGCATGGTGTACAAGGATCTGGGGTGCAAGGATGCGTGGAGTGCAGGGATGCACGGTGTGCAGGAAGGTATGGTGTACAAGGACATATGGTGTACAAGGATGCATAATGTACGGATACATGGTGTACAAGGATGCGTGGTGTACAGGATACATGGTGTACAGGGACCTGGTGGTGCGAGGGTGCTGAGGTACAAGGGTGTAGGGACACAAGGATGTTTGCAGTGCAAACATGCTGGGCATGCAAAGATGCATGGGGGGTACCAGGATGCAGGGCTGCAAGGATCTTGGTGCAGAAATTTATCGTAAACAAGGATCTGGGGGTGCAGAGGTGCTGGAAATGCAAGGATGCATCGTGTACAAGGACGCAGGGGTGCAAGGATGCACAGTCCACACGGATTTGGGGGTGCAGGAATCTGGGAATTCAAGATGCACGGTGCACAAGGAGGCAGGGATGCAAGGATGCATGGTGTACATGGAGCTGGGGGTGCAAGGGTATTGAGGTGCAAGGATATAGGGATACAAAGATGCGGGGGATGCAAAGGCTCACAGGGTCCAAGGATGCATGGATACAGGAATGCAGGGGTGTAAGGATGCTGGGGATGCAAGTGTGAATAGGGTCCAAGGACCTACTCCGCACCTGCAGAGGTATCACTGTTAGGGCTAAATGCAAAACCCTAATGGGCAAGTCTGCTTCAGATGCAGGCTCAGGGGTGGTCAGAGTGTCGTACTGCTTCCCAACCTACCACATCTCACTGAAGGACACTCTGGATTTGTCAGACATGGGAGCAGGGCTGTGGCTGCCCAGCTCCTTGTGCAGGTTGTGCTCTTACGCGACCCTAAAATGAGCATTCTGATCAAGCAAAGAACTTCGCAGATTCGCATTGTATGAACCAAAACTGAAAACAAACATAGAAAATCAAAATATTTCTTTTTTTTCCTAATGCAGCCTCCTCCTTTCTTCTAAATGACTGTGAAATAAGTATAAATTCAAATTTCAAAGTACTCAGAATATAAAAGCTAAGTTGTTTTGCTTTATAAAGAAACACATTTCAAGTGATCTGAAATAATTGCTTTCCCTTTAATCAGGGAAAGCAAAAAAAGAGCTACAATATCAAGGCGTTCTTATAATCCACATAGTATTCCATTCTATTTATATTCTTCCAACCTACCTGTTCTCTAGCAAGAAATATCCACTTTCAACTGTCCTCTGTTACTTGCACCTCAGGAAATCATTATTTGAAAATGTGAATCATCCATTGCCTGTGGAGGAGCAGTAGCAGAGTGAGACCAATTTGCTTTCACAGTAATTATAACCTGTTGTAGAACACGTGCAATATTATTTTCAATTTATGCTAAAACCATCTAAGTGCGACCTCTAGGTAATATGCAACATGGTTTGCAATATTGATTGCCTATCCTGCTAGAAAGTGAAAATATTTTCTGTGAAAAAGGAGCTCTTCAATTTTCGAACCATACTTTCTGATCCCTTGCATAAAACAAAACTTTCCATAAGGTGGCAGTGTTCTGTTATTTCCCATAGAGTGAAACACGTCATTACACACAAGCCCTTAAGAGAGAAGTGCAATATTCATAAATGCCAAGGCTTTTGATTACAGCCCAATTAAATTATTTAGAGAGACAGAAGATCAGAAGAGAGAAGAGCAATTCACCCATTACAGCCAGGTCTGCAGCACACACATTAGGTAATCAAAGTGCTGGCATCTAGCAACACAGCATGCAAGTACTGGATTTGGAAATGAAAGGTCTGAATTCTGCCTTCAATATATATAGAATTCTTATTCTATATATATAGAGAGAGTAAGTATATACAGAAGGTTCCCCTTACTAGAATATAGAGAAGGAACATAGAGAGAATCCCTGTTCTGTATATAAGGATTTCTCTGATTACACCTCCAGTAATGCTGGAGAGCAAATGAGCCTGATGTTTTTATATTTGAATGCCTAGCTGTTATGTTGGTAACTAAGAAAGTGTCCTGGGGCCAACGGTGCTTGGAGCAAAGTTATGGGGATCCAAAGCCCGGCACACATGCGACAGAGATCAGGCCGGGCCTGGCAGCATCTGGAAGGACCAGCCCGTTGTCTGGTGGCACTTGGGGCCACCGTGGCTGGCAGGACTTTTCTGAACCTTCTTGGGGACCTCGCTAGAAACTGGATGTTGTTAAAGTATTTTCTTGCAGCTTTACAACTCTGAGTAATAAAGACCAAAGGAGGCCGTAATCATGCAATTCCCTTACAGTTATGTTGCGCTGTAAAACCTGCTCACCCAAGTGCATTTTGTACTGTGGCTTCTGGAGGCTGCTGCATCTGCTGCCGCAGTGCTCCTGCCCGAACACCGATGTTACAGCATGCCCATGTTTGATTGTGTGCATTAGTCTGCATGACTGCATGAAACACATCGGGAAAATAAACTGAAGCACGAAGCTGCTCCTGCCCATCTCAGAGCCTGGAGGAGGAGAGATGCAGGCATACAGTGAAGTCAAGAGAGGGCAGCACAACTGCACAGGATGTTTTCAAGGGAGGTTTGCATACAAACCTAGAGCATGTTTTTTTCTTTTTTTTTTGAGATACTGAATATTTTCTTGCATTCCAAAATGCTATTTTTGCACATGCAAAATTGCTCATGTGTAGAAAAGGATAACTTTTATCCATACAATTAAGAACCATCCATAAGAAAATTAAAATTCAGGCATATCTGACAGATATTGAAGTTTCCATGTGGTATTGGATCATCTGCCCCAAGTTTCCTTATATGTCCTTATCCCAAGTCATAATATTCTTTCTATTATCAAGTTGTCAATCTACAAATTATCAAGATTTTCAAATTAATAGTCTATAGCAGAATATTACAGTAGCAATAACTTGGGAAGACAGAACTGAAAGATCCACCTCACTGCATGCAAGGCCTGGATCAATGACCATCAGTGCTTTCCACCTTGCAAAGACACATTTTCCAGATGAATTCTCTTGTCTTTGATAAAACTCTCTTTGTATACTCCTGTCTTTGTTAAAAATGAGCACTGTAGTGTGCTCAGGTATATCCAGAAAGAAGCAAGGTGGCATTTTGTTTTATATCCTTGCTGAAAGCAGGGGCTGCCCTGCTCTCCGGACTGTTCTGCCTAACGCTCTGCTCAAAACTTTTCCTAGCCCTCAAGCAACAAAGTGAGATGACTCAAGAAGTGACCAGAAATCACAAGAAGTCCATGACCACAATGAGACACTTTATTTGTGGTTCTTCACTAAGCAGAAAACTGGTGATATGTGGACAATATGGAATAAATAAGAAGGAGGAAGGCAGGTGAGGCTGTGCCAAATGCAAACAAACAGCGTAGCTGAGACTCAAGGAAGACACAAGGCAAATTTCTAAGAAGTGCTTCTCAAGAGTGCTGGTATGTGTCCTGTTCTGCAGATATTTTGCAGAGATCTGGAGCTCCCACATGCTTCTGGGAGAGTCAAGCAGTAAGGAAATTCCTTGGCTAGCAAGGGCTCTGGGGGAGCTCATCGCGAGGCAGTGGTGGGGCTGTCAGAAGGGCTGCACCTTCAAGTCACTGGGAAGCTCGATAAGAGTCCCAGACCCCAGAACCACTGGGCCTGCTGGTGAAACCCACCTGGCTTCTCTCCCACCAGATGGTGCCCACACAAAAGTACAAGCTGTAGCGACAACACATCTAAGTCCTTGGTCACATACCATGGTTAAAAGCCCAACACACTGCCCCTTGCTTGTCAGCAAGGCTGGAATCCATCTGCCTCACCCCATCAAGTGTGTCCTATTTGCATTTAAATGTTAGGCACCTGAAGAAGCCAGCCTCCTACCTCCAGTACCTAAATGCCCCCTATGGTCAACAGGTGCCTTTGAAAGCAAGTCCCGGGGAGATCTCATATGCTATCTTATATGCATGCACCAGGGCCAGGGCAATCTTCCCTGGGGGCCTTCAAGAATTCCTGCCTCGCTGCTTTCCATATATATGGAAAGTGAGCAATCAAGGCAGGGGTCATCTCATGTCAGTGGAGCTGTCAAAACCCCAGACAGCTGGTTTAATAGGTCTGATAGAAGGTTAGTCTTGTAGGCTCTGACAGCATATGGAGAAGATTGGCCATTTGAGAGCATTATTCATCCTGTCCTAGGATAGGAGTCAAGGACACGCGTAAAGAATTGCCCTGCAAAGGCTGACTGTGGCACTGCTTCTTGGCCCAGCACAGAGACAGCTGGGTGACTGAGTCTGAGATGGTCAAAACTGGTGAGAGGAATCTCACCCTATTTTAGGAGGAAATGACTCTACACTCACGAAAAACTCAGGTGCTAGCAGGGCATCACAGGTAGCTGTGGAGGATCCAACCACTGTGCGAAGGAAGCAGAAATTATTGTAGCTTTAGTCATCAGCTTGATTAACTTTACTCATCTGTGCTACTAAAATGTCAGAGCTCTGTACCCAATGTCCTGCCCTGTGTCTTCCTTCCATCTGACTTCCTCTTGAGTATTCTTTTGCAATACTAGTCAATAGTTTTATCTATCAGTAACTCAGTGTACCTTGTAAAACACTGTTCTTTTCAAATTAATCACCTCTGAAAATGATGACCTGATACCTGCACAAGGAGATTACAGAGGAAGTCTGATGTAACATATGAAAACTTGGTTGTAACACGAAAAGTTTGAGTTGCTTTCACTAGGTTAGGCAGAAGGAAAAAAGTATTCAGTAAAGGATATATTTGAGTAGTGACCATAATTTGAAGCCAGTGAAATGTAAATTAAGATAGAGTTAAATACTACTGATATTTTCCTTTTTTTCTATGCTTGATTATCTTTGCCAGTGTAAATTTCATAGAGGTTTGTACCAGAGCTGATCATAAAGTGCTGATTATTTTTCACACTAAAAAACCCTTTCATTTCTTTTCAGCTTCTGATGATTTTTAAATGCTTTTAATAAACATCAAACCCCAAACGAGAAATATTTTTATTTTTAATTACCTTCAAAATTCTTCAGTTTTA